TATTTAGTATCATTTCTTTAACATTTTTGTTCTTTATTTTTTTACTTTGATGTTTTTGATATTTCAAAGAACCCCTAAGCATAGTGCTGAATTGATATCCAGTGTTCTTAAATGAAAAAAAAAAAAAAAAAAACATGTTATGTGCCTTACAGAGAAGATTTGTGTATTAGATAAAGGCATGAGTTTAGGCATGAGTTTGTGCCATTAACCGTGAGTTCAGTGTTAATGAATCAACAATATATATTAAATAAGGGGTCTTTAAACATAAAAAGCACATGAAATAAGGACATGTATTTAATTGCATCAATTCTCAAAGCTATTCAACTGGAACTCTTCTCTCAAGGGACCATCTTGTAGCTGTAGACTGAATGTTCCATTGAGCCGGTCTCTCAAGGAACTGGAATGTGTGGAGACTTGAATCATGGGTTGGCATTGTCCTATTCTGTCTATTCTGTCTAATGAGGATTCTGTAAGTGCAAAGTTTAATTCAAAGAGATTTGCCCTGTAGTCTAGCTTTGCAACTAGTTGAGGCTATTTATACAACCTCTGTGAACATTTTTTTTTCTTTTTCAACTTTAAAATTAAGAAATTGAATGATACCATCTTTAATTTCTATGATTTCTTGTTCAGTTATCTTCTTAGGATGCCAGTATTTCAGCTCAGTAATAAAATTGTCCTTGAGATTCAAGGACAGTATGACCTGAGATAGTGGACAATGTTGCAATTTACTCAGAGACAAGTTCCAAGTCCTTTATGCTTATTCCCCTCTAGCACATCATTTATATCCTGATATTTAACAATCAAATCTGACTTATCCTCTGACCTGATTTCCCTGGGGAAGTAAGTGGTCTTCTCTAGTATTGATTGGTCATAAGATTTTACCAATTAGTTTGCAACCAAACTGTTAAAAACCAAGATTCTTCTCCAAATGATGACAGTTTTTCACACTACAGTCCAATTTTTGGAGTGTTTGAGGTTGTTCAATATACATATTGAATTATAATTATAATATATAATTACAATTTCAATTAACATGTAAATATAAGTATTCCCGATAAGTATTAATAATTAAAATTATAATTAACATGTAAATATAAGTATGCCCTGTAAGTATTTTAAGTATGATTTGATTTGGTTAATTGTTTAAAATTTGACCAATTTAAATTGTTTAAAGCAAACAATTATACTTGATAATAAAGTCAGAGAACATAAAATAGTACAAAAGCCATTTTTAAAAATGTAATTAATTACTCTTTCCTCTCTTGATCCATTAACCTGGCCAAATGTAAGTTCTGTCATTACATACTTAGATTGGTAATATTTCCTACTGGATCAAAATTCAAATAGAGAGGGAACAGTGACAAGTTGTCCTTCCCACTTATCTTCACAGTCATGTATTTTCTCTCTCCAAATAAATCCAATGTTTAGTTTTGTCTCGGGTAATATATTATTCTTGTATGTACAAGAAAATACATATTTATTTCTCTGACTTTTGCCCTACTGCCATCATTGTTGTGAGCCTTGGTAATGTGCATGTTGATAACATTTGAAAAGACACAAGTCACAACTTCCAATATCATCTTGAATCTCTATTATCTTAGTCTCTAATCCATATCTCTTGACCTGAAGGCAGTCTTATGTCCCAGGGTGCTGTATTAATGGCTTTATGTCTTTTTTCAGATTGATATAAGGGTATAAACAATTAGACTACATTGTTGGCATTTGTTAGGTAAAGTCCAAGTTGTAGTTAAAACTTACTCAAGAGCTGTGTCATATACCTCTACATTGTGCCTGTTAGGTGATAGCATACCAAACCCCCTCCTTTCTCTCCTCTCTCCCCCTACTTGTCTGTGGTTGTGTTCTCACATGTAGGAGTGTAGTGGTTTATTTGTTTCATATTAGTATTGAGTATGTTAGATATTTGCTTTTCCATTCTTGTGATACTTAGGATGATGTTCTCCAAATTCATCCAGGTAAATACAAAAGATATAAAGTCTCCATCTTTTTAATTTTAATTTTAATAACTATGTATGGCTAATGATTACCATATTGCAAGCATAACCATAAGAGTTTAATTAACTTATTAAAGTTAAACAGTATATTCTGTGTAACTCCTAAGCTCATATTTTTTCAGTATGCCACACTGCTTCATCAGTAAAACTCAGGATGTCTTTGAAGATAGTAGGAAAGAATGAGTGGGCCCTACCCTACTGAGTAGAAAATGTAAAGTATTTAGGCACATTTCAAGGTATATTAACTTTTTAGGCCACTAGCTTAGTTGGTAAATCTACACTTTAGAGCACAAGATCTTAATTATCAAGCAATAGCTATGAATTTTATTTATAGCCAACATATTATTATTATTGTATTATATGAAGTAACATGATTATACTCTGAAAATATTAAGGTGTTGAAAATTTTTTAAGATATTAGATACTTCAATGTGTTTTTCTCATATCTAGGGAGTCATGTCTTAGAAAGAATTATTTTATTTTATTTTAAATTGTTTTATTTTGTTTTATGTTATTTTCTGCAACCTTTAGAATTTTTTTTTTATTTCAGGTTAATATGAGGGTAGATATAATTTGGTCACATTATTTATATTTGTAAGGTAAAGTCCCAGTTGTTGACCCTTTCACCCAAGAAGTGTGTCATAACACCCCCACATAGCTTTTTTTTTAAATTTATTTTTCTTACATATACATGTGTATATTAGGTTTTCACTTTTGCCTTCAGAGAATTAAAAGGCTAAATTTAATGACAATAATAATATTTAACATAAGGACTGAGAACAAAAACCTCATAAAGAACAAAAGAAGATAAATACATTCAGAAAAGAAATCAGACGATTGCTGCAACAAAATATTAGTC